CGAGACCCCCTCCCGCTGGGTCGGAGCAGCCCCTTTTAGCCTTGTCTGCCCCGTCTCCCATTGGACGTTTAAAGGGCTCGGAACCTCCGAAGAGGAGACGGGCTTTCGTTGCTGGGAGCACCCGATGACTGGGGAGAGGGGCGCCGGAGACCCCAGGGTTGGGGAGCCAGGCTGCGTGTACGTGTGTTTGGGGGTCAGGGCGAGCAGGCTACGGTGGCCCGGATTGGGGGGAGGCATCTGAAATGTTTCTTTCCTAGTCTCTTCCTACCCCCGTCTTTGTATTTTTCTCCAAACAGTCACCTCCCCACCATTCTCTTTTCTCTGTCTGGCTCCGTCCCTCTCCTCGCTGTCTCTGTCTCTCTAGCTTTGTCTCTCTAGCTAGCTCCGTCTCTTTCTCTGTCGTTCTCTCGATCCCTCCCTTTCTCTCTCTCTCTCTCTCTCTCTTCTCTCTCTCTCTCTCTCTCTCTCTCGCTCGCTTGCTCTCGCTCTCGCTCTCTCGTTCTTTCTCTCTTGTTCTTTCTCTGTCTCTTCCTTCCCTGCCGCTGTTTCTCCTTCAGTTCTCAGTCTCTTTCTCTATTTGTCCCTTGTCTCTTTTCCAGTGTTACATTCTCCATCTCTGTCTTCCTTTTCTCCATGTGTCTCTCTTCTCTTTCTATCTCACCTCACCGTCTCTTCTCTTCCAGCACCCCGTTGGGGCGGGGAGGGGGGGAATCCTTTTACTTCTCTCAAACAAAGTGTTCTGGGTGGCCCCTTGGATGGATATGTGTGTGTTGGGTGGGGGTGGAGGGGGGGCTTTGGGAATAGTGTCGGATGAAACAGGCCACGGAGCCAGGTTTTCTTTTGTGAAAGGGGGGGGGCAGTGAATGACTTATTCGGATTTCCTCTTTTCTCTGAGTGTGTGGCGTCTGTAATATACAAATATATATTTATATATATGGACAGAGTGTATGAGTGTGTGTATATGTGTGCACATATAGAGAGACAGAGAATATTTATTCATATCTAGAGAATCTGAGAGTCCCTTGCAACACCCAGAGCCTCCAAGTGGGGTGAGCCCCCTCCCCCCAACAGACTTTTCTCCTGGCTTGCTCTTTTGAAGTAACTCAGATCAATTCAGAGGACTGATTTTTTTTTGGGGGGGAGAAACAAGGAAGAAAAGGAATTGGGGATGTTGTTTTTAAAATGTCTGCTTTTGTGTATTCTTCGTCTTTCATCTCTAGGGTGTATCTTCTTCCCACCCTCTACTCTCCCCCCCCTTAAAACGTTATCCAAATCTAAAAAAATGGAGGATGGGGGGAAGGGATGTTGTATGGGGGCTAGTGGGGGAAGTGCTTGGGGAATTATTTTATAAAGAGAGAGAATACCCATTTTTTTCTTTCTTTCTCTTCCACTCTTCTGCCTCCTGGCCCCTTCCCCACATTAGGAGAGTCAGAGTGTTGGAGTGAAAAGCTCTAGTTATCTCTTTATCAAAGCATTCTCTTCTTTCCAGAGGCACATTCTGTCCTCCCCCAGTCTCCACCATGTAGCTGGGTAGCCCTCATCCTCTCCTCTCTGATTTTTCTTTTATTTTGTATTCCAGGGCCTGGGGCAGGAGGGAGCTCTTCCCAGGCCCCTGGGGACCCCTGGGGAGCGTGTGAGGAGAGAGACACTGGGGGCAGGGCTGGAGGGAGGGAGGTGGGGAATTAGCCTCTCCCTGGGATCAATTTCCCATCAAGTTAGATGTTTCTTCCCTCTGTTTTTCCTCCTGACAGCTCAGGAAGAGTGTGTGGGGTATTTATGTAAGAGGGCCAGACTCGCTCCATGTCTATTTACCTAACCCAGCGTGGGTATTTATGTAATATAGGAGGAGGGCGTATTTATTGGCACTACCCTATGAGTGCCCAGGTCCGGATATGTGGTCCCCGAGTTGGCACACACCAAAAACGTACGTCAGGAGCATGTGTGGGTGAGTGGAGGCTCATTGTATACATGTACTTTTCTTCCTTTTGGAGTGTAGACAACACTTGGGAAAGAGAGAGAGTGAGTGTGAGCACAGGCATCTGCAGCACCGTGTTCCTCGGTGGTCCTTTGGAAATATTTATCCGGTAGCCTCCATGACAGTTTTGAAGGGCTGCATGTGTGTGTGATGGGTAGGAGAAGGCCAAGATTACCCCTGCATTTTGAACTAGAAGAGGCTTTAGAGTGATTCGGTCCAACCCTCTCATTTCACTGAGGCCCTCATTTTACAGAAGGGGAAACTGAGTCTGAGACTGGAAGTGATTCGCCCAAGGTCGCACGGGAAGTGAGCAAGCAGTGCCTAAGACCAGCTGTGTTTCTGTGTGGAGACAGGGAGCAGGTTTCCTTCAGAAGGATGCCGTTTCTCGGTCTCCTGATTTGTCTAGAGGTAAAGAGGGTCTGTGCAGTCTCAGGCTTTGGAGTTCTGAAGGGGAGGCAGTGGTGGAGTGGGAAGAGGTGGGGACTTGAATCAGGAGAGATCGGATTTAAATCCCTCATCTAACACTGCTTGTATAATCCCGGGTAGGTCACTTCACCTGAGTCTCAGTTCCCTCATCTCTAAAATGGGCACAAAAATATCTATGCTTCCTTCAAAGGGTGGTCGAGAGGCTCAAATGAGGTGAACCTAAAAACTTCGTGGAAATGTCAGATGTTATTCAAATAGTGTTTTGGTGTTTTTAAGGTTTACAAAGTTCTTTCCTCAAAATGTCCCTGGGAGGTGGGTGGTGCAGATAGTAATAGCCTCATTTTTCAGATGAGAAAACTGGGCCTGGGAGAGGGTTGTGATTTGCCCACAGTCACCCAGCTGACCCTGCCCAAGGATATCATCTGAATAGCCTCTGGTCAGTGATTTGACTGTAGGCCTGGACATTTGGTGGAAGGGGAAGATAGGATGTGTCTATCTTGTATTGTGCCTGCTGGGCACAATGTTTTTTTCCCCATCTTTGAGAGTGAGCACAGGGAGATGGGCAGAAGAGGAAGGGATAGGAGATCAGCCTGGCTTTCTATAATTTCCTGTGCGATTCTGAACAAGTCTCTTCCCCTTCCTGGGCTGCTGCAAAATGAGCAGACTGGCCCAGATGATCTTGAAATATCAGCTCTGACATTCTAGGATTCCTGTTATGTCTCTGCTCTCACATGGAAGGAAGAGAGGATCTTCTAGAGTGGTCCCTAAGCCCCACCTCCACAACTCAAGTATCCAAAGACCCCCGGCCCTAGCCATCTCAAGGCTCTTGGCCAGGAAAGATGGGGCCCCAGGAAGTGGGGCTGGATTGAAATCTTTGTTCGTGGGCCAGGGATGCTTTCCCGTGATGGGACCTCAGAAGCCTCATGGGCCTACTGGCACCCCAAAAGGAGAAGAAGCAAGATCGATACCCTCTCTATCCAATCTTCCCCCAAACTCCCCTATTTCTGGACTCCAGAGAATCCCACTCAGGACTGGGACTCCCACAAAGACCCTACCCATCCTATTTTTCTCTGGAGCCTACCAACTTGCTGATGGGATGTGCTTAGCTCTTCAGGGGACCTTCTGTCCCAGACTTTAAAAGATGCCCCAAAGCTTGGTGTACTAAAAGGAATAACTATATTTGGGGTCAGAGGACATGGGTTCAAATGTCGGCTGTCCCATTTACTGACTATATGATCTTGGGCAAGATGATCTGAGGTCCCTTTGGCTCCTGGGATCCTTTCCAGCCCTAGGTCCTCTGAGACCCTGGACTCTGGTCTCCTGAGATATCAGAGCATGTTTGTTGTTGGAGGCCCTCAGCTGAGGAATCCTCCAGAGCCTTCTTTTTAAAGGGGATAGTAAAAAGAAGGGATTGGGTCTTGAAGGTCAGATATTTTCAGGAGTTCCTTCTCTGCCCCCCAATAATACCAAGCCTGTCCCCCACTTCTAGGGCTGAGGGAAAGACAGCAGGATGTAGTGAGGAGGATGCTTCTGGACTGGAGGTCAAGAAAAACCTGGGTTCAAATCTTGCCTGAGATACCTACTAGCTGTGGAGGTTATGGTGGGAAAGTCACTTAACTTCTGAGCTTGTTTCATTTGAAAAATGAGGAGGTAGGTTAGGTGGCTTCTGAAATCTCATCTAGCATGAGATTTGTGAACTCTTGTGACCTTGAGCAAACCAGCCTCTCTGTGCCTCAGTGGGGGCTTGGCCTAGAAGTCCTCCAACGTCCTTCCCAGCTTTAGATCCAAGATCTGGACAGAATCCAGACCAGAGACCATGATCCAGAAGGGAATCAGGGAACAAAGCAGGGGGAATGTTCTCTGGGCATCCTGATGGGCCAGGGTGAGAACCCTCTGGATGGGAGACAGTCTAGGTGTCTGGGACCTCAGGGCCCAGGGCTGCCCCCAAATCTCCCCAAGATAAGCTGGCTCATGGGAGCTGGGGACAGGCCGTGGAAGACCTACTGTCTTCCCTCTAAGGGACTATATCCTGTTTCCCTTAAAACCAAGAGTGGGTCTTGTTTGTTTCAGGGGGTCAGCAGGAGGATATGAGTCATCTATGCTAGTGTCCCCGTTCCCTCCCCAAACACCCTCTTATCTTGCTTGTTGACCCAGTGAGTTGGAATTGAGTGGTGGTCAGCTCCTCTGTCCTCCCCTCTCTCTCGTGGGGACACTGGGCCATTCTGGGCAGCCACCCTGAGGCTGGCCTCCAATTGACAGTCAACGCATGGCCACTTCCTAGTGGGTACCTGAATGGTCCCTTTCCTGACTCCAGAAGCCCTCTTCTTCTCCACTCTTCCTGATCCCTGTGACCAGGGTGTGGGCACCTGGCAGGCTGAACACCTGGGTGCCCTGGGGTGCAGAGAAAAAGGGAGGAGATGGAGGAAATCTTCGCCTTCGCCTATGGGAAAGGAAGGCATGTGTTGCTCGCCTCGGGCTCCTGACCCTCAGGGATGGGTGGGGTCCCAGAGAAAGGAGCCATCCGTCCCCCTCTGGCTTCTTCTGTAGTCCTATCGCTCACCTGACCTGGTTTCCCCAATTCTCTCCTTCTTTCTTGCAGCGAGACTGAATCATGGAGCTTCGTGTGGGAAACAAATACAGGTTGGGCCGGAAAATCGGCAGTGGCTCCTTTGGGGATATCTACTTGGGTAAGTGGCTCTGGCTTCTGGGGGTCCTCGGCCAGGGCTGGGGAGGAAATCTGTCCCTCGAGGCAGAGCGGCATCTCAGGGCGCTTTGACCTGGACCTCCTGGGAGGCCTGAGCTCCAGGACTACGTCTGACTTGGGCCCCTGGCCTTAATGTCTGCATCTGTACAATGGGAATGATAAACCTCATACTACCCCACCTCATAGGGCAGTTGAAGGCTTGGTAGCTTGGAAAATGCTGTAGAAGCCCAAGTGGAGGGAGCCCTGGGTGGAGAGTCAGAAGTCCTGGTTTCAAATTGTGCTCAGCCACTTTCTGGCTGTGTGTCTTTGGGCAAATGCCTTTTTTTCCCCTCTGGGCCTCAGTTTCCTGATCTTGGACTTGGGAAGCCTTTGAACACGGAGCTTTCAGCCTTAAATCTCTGGTCCTAAGTCCAAGGCCGTGGAGCCAGATGCGCTTTGGAGATGCCCAGGCCTCGGGGAGGATGGCTCTGGGGTGGGCTGGCCGGGAGGCCAGTGTTTCCTCCCTGCCCCCTCCCGCCCAACCGGGGCATTTGACCCGCTCTGAGCCCTCAGTGAAGGTGGTTTGTCCCTGTTGCTGCGGCCACAGCAGCAGGAGATATTTTTAGCTCAGATTACCAGCTGGGGTGACCCAGGTTTCCAGCTTGGGCCGTGGGAACAGGCTCCAGGCGGGTTCGGATCGCCCGCCTGCCCTTCACCCCGCTGGAAGCGAGCGTTCACTGAAACCAAGCGGGATGGGGGCAGCTTCTGCCCTGAGGCCAGCCTCCTCCCGGCTTCCCCACCCCCTCCTCTGCCGGGATCCCTCCCTGCAATCTGACCCTCCTGAGTTGTCTTTCCTGGGTCTTGTGTCCAAAGTGACGCAGGCTCCCCCATGAGCAGAGTGGCTGCTCCAGGAGCTGGGGGACCTCTCTGCCCGGAAATGCTTCCTCTTGAAAGTCTGAGCTCGCCCTGGTTTTGTTTTGTTTTGGTTTTTTTTCACTGAGAATTAGTTCTCTCTTCCTGGCTTGCTGCCAATCCCCCTCCTGTGAGGAGCAGTGAGCTTGGTGCCTGCTGGATACACATAGAATCCCCAAACCTCCTGGGCTGGGGCAGCTAAGAGACCCTTTCGGGCCAGTCTGGGCCAAGGCAGAAATCTCCATTCCGATGTCCCTGGCGATGGGACAGCGAGTGGTGGGGAGCCCCCTTCCCTGAAAGGCAGCCTGTCCGTTTGTGGGCAGCTTGAATCAGTAGGAAATTCTTCCTTTTTAGGGGTAGGAGGGGGAAGTGGGGTGCTGAGAAAGGCTATCACAGAGCCCCACTAAACTCTTGGATTTTTCTGAGTTTGGTCTCCCATGTATTTTATTTTATTTTATTTGATGCCTTACTTTTGGTAAAGAAATAGAGAGGCAGCTGGCCATCCAGGAGTTAAAAAAAAAAACACCTGGGTCCTGTCTCTGACACATACTGGCTAGGCATGTCACTTAAATTTTCCTGGCTCCAGGTCCTTGAGGTGGAGAGGAGCTGCCAGTCTGCATCAGTGGAGGGATTTTTCCATATTGGGAGTTCCCTATGGTAATGAAATCATAAACAGAACAGGTCTGGACCAAAAAAAAAATTCCTTTGGGTGGAGCTTCCAGATGGTGACCTCTGAGGTGTGGCAGGAGCTGGGGAGCCTCCTTTAGCCTTAGTGAGAATCAAGAGCTGCTGTCCTTGGTGAGGAGAAGTGATCTGAGTAATGGGATGTGTAGAGAACTCTGGGTGTGATATCTGGATGCCTGCTGTTCACCCACTGTGGGACCCTGGGTGAGTCACTGCTTCTCACCCTCTCATTTAAAGGCTCAGAGCCTCCTAGATTTAGAGCTGAGAAGGGCCTGTGAGGCCACTGGCTACCAACTCTTAATTTTACAGATGAGGAAACTGAGAACCAGACAGATGAAGTGATTTGTGGGGGGTGACACAGGTAATTAGTGTCAGATGTGAAATTTGAGCCCAGGCCTTTCTGTCTCCTAGCATCGTAGATTCAGAGCTGGGAGAGACCTTCGAGGTCACCTACCTAGTTTAAACCCCTTCATTTTACAAGAGAGGAAACTGAGGCCCAGAGCAGTTAAGTGAGTCCCCCAGCAAATATCTGAGCTGGGATTTGAACACAAGTCTTTCTCACTATGGTCTCTGAGTCTATGGGTCTGGGTAGGATCTGAGGCCTGGGGGATTGGGGAACAGGGCACTGGCTTTGTTAGTGAGCTGTCTGGATGGTGATTTTGAGAAAGGAAGAGCTTTGTTAATCAATCAACATTTACTAACCACTGCCTGTGCCAGGCAGATGGAGGACCTGGATTTGAATCTGGGCTCCATCATTTACTAGCTTCATGACTTTGAGTAAGTCATGAAGTCAGTAAGAGGTTACTTAACCTCTAGTCCTCAGTTTCCCCACTTGTAAAATGAAGGGGTTAGATTTGGTGAATTCTAAGGACTTTTATAACTTTGACTCTTTCGTTCTCTGAGTACTGGACTCTGAGCCAGGAAGACCTGGGTGCAAATCCTACCACTGACCCTAATTAGCTGTGTGACCCTGGGTAAGTCACCTGGGGCCCAGTGCCTTCTCGGTAAAGTAAGAGGATTGGCCCAGAAATGCTCTAAGTTCCCTTCCGATTGTAAATCTCTGTATCTATGATCACCTGATAGAACGTAAACTCCCTAAGGGCAGGCCCTGTTTAGCTTTGCATCTCCAGTGCCTCGCCCTGGCACATAGAAGGTACTTACTTAAAAGGCCTGTCGAGGTAAACTGAGTTACCAGGTTGGCCAGAGGATGGTGGATCTGGGGCCAGAGCAGCTTTCTAAACCCCTCCCCCAATCTGTGTTTGACAGTGAAGACTCTGAGCCTCTCCTAGTATCCGCCATGTACCTGTGTCTAAGGCCCTGTGCTGGGCACTGTGGGAGGGACAGAGAAGCCTAGGACCAGTCTTTGACCTGAGGAATTTTATAATCCAGCTTGGGAGGGTGGTTAATGCCCGTGGAGCCCGAGAAACAGATGCCAACTGTAGGGTGGGGTCTGCATGATGAATAGTTATTAGGGAAGGCTTCAAGGAAGAGGAGGCTTCTCAGGAAGTGTTTTGGCTAACCCAGAGGAGCCGTGTCCCCATCATGAAGCTTCAGTTCCAACTGTACCAACATGGTGGCTCCAGGATGCTTGAGTTCGAAAGGCCTGAAAAGCTAAAAGGACTTTGGGAAGGAGTTTGGGCATCATCTAAGCTCATAACCCCTCTTCCACATCCCCATTTGGCAGATGACAACCCTGAGAATCCAATTAAAGATAAACATTCATTAAGCACCCACTGTATACGACTCACCGTGCTTGGTGCTTGTGGAGGATGCCTGGTAACAACAGACCTGAAAGTGTGAAAGCATTTACTTTCTCCTTGATTTTGAGCAGGAATGTTGGCTTATTTCCGAATTGTTCTAGTTTGGGGTTAACCTAAAGTTACTAGGCCTGGTGTTAGGAAGACCTGAGTTCTAATGCAGCCTCAGATACTTACTAGCTGTATGACCCTGGTCAAGTCACTTCACTCTGTTTGCCTCAGTTTCCTCATCTGTAAAATGAGCTGGAGAAGGAAATGGCGAACTGCTCCAGGATCTCTGCCAAGAAAATGGGGTCATGAAGAGTCAGACATAACTAAACAACCCAGTGTTGCTGTGAGGCACCTGTGAAAAAATATTCATAAAGTATTTTGCAAACCTTAAAGCATGGTAGAAGTGCTAGCTTTTATGACTCTTTTGATTATCCACAACTATCCCTGTCAAATAGTCTTCTGCTTGAAGACTTGCAGTGATGGGGAGCTCACTGCACACCAAGGTAGCTGGCCCATTCTGGTTGAAGACAGCTCTGGTCTTTAGAAAGCCCATATGAGGAGCTGAATGAGCGCCTGTGGACGCAGTGTTTCACCCCAATCTGCCTCTCTGCCATGCCCCCACCCCAACATTGACCCTCTTTGTGCCCGTTGGAGCCCAAGTCTGCTTCTGCCTTTTAGAAAATTGAAAGCGCCGATGGAGTTTCCCCCAAGTCTTCCCTTCTCCAGGCTAATTGCTCCCAGCTCCTTGCAATGATCCTTACTGAGCCCATGCTGCTCACCCTCCCCTAGACATTCACCCGCTTATCAATATCCTTCCTAAATTTTGGCGCCTGGAACCGAACCCAGTCCTCCCTGCAGGGCAGGGCTGTTGGCTCCCTGGTCCCAGGCTCTGTGTCTCTCTTAATGCTGCCTGGAATCTCATTAGCTCCTGGGGATTCTCTGTTAACACTCTCCACTCAGGCTGAGCTCGCCCTCCTCTGGAACCCCTTTCAAAAACCTGGGTGCCCTCTTGGCTCTCACCTCCCCGCCCTCTGGGCTCAGCCCTATTTTGAAGAATTCCTCTTGGTTCAGGTTTCCCCTGCTCCCAGGTGGTCGCCCCCTTTGCTCCTCCCTTCCCACTCTCCGGCCCTTCCTGGCGTCTTCTTGCCCTTGAAGGCCTCGAGACTTGGCCGACAATTTGTTTGTGAATTTAACAAAGGCCTCTGGCCCGTCCGGTGCCTCTTGTCCAGAACCATCAAACCCGTGATGAATCTCAGTGTCAGGCTGGTCTCTGGAACCCTTTCCCTCTCTCCTGGGTTCCTCCTGGCCCTCTGTGGCGTCGATGACCTGGTTCCCCCTTTGTTCGGAGCTCTGGCCAATTCCTCCAGCCGGGTGTTGGGGCTCAGTGGGGGTGACAGCAGATGGACTCTGCAGGTGGGGAGGGAAGCCGGGACTGCCATTGTGGCTTCGGTCGCTTTCTAGGACTGCTGGGTTGGCCAGAGGGTCGTGTGGGTGCAGAAGGAGGCTGGGGGGGCTTGGGGGTATCCCCCCTGTCCTGCCCCCAGGAGGGCAGCTGGTAGGTGACAGTGTAGACATTTATGTTAGACCTCTTGTCTCAAGTGTTAGTGGCATGGCTAGCTTGGTTCAGTTGCCTCTTGTCTGGACAGATGGGGACCCAGGT